CAGAAGTGTGAACGTGAGCGCGAGAGTAAGCAAATAGCCGAAGCTTTTGCCTCTCCCTGCAGCAGACAACTTAACAGTGAAGAACAGCTTTCGCTCGTTCGTTCGCTCGCTTGCTTTGCTCGTTTGTTTGTTCGTTCGTTTGTTCGCTCTCTCGTCGGCAACGGCAATGACAGTGTATCATCGTGCCTCGTACTTTACATTCTGCCTTAGTAGGTCAACAAAATTCCGGACAATGGCCTTTCGCTTTCGTCTGCGATGCGTCGTTGTTGCTGTCGTTGTCGTCGATGTCGACGTCGACGTCGCCGTCGCCGTTGCGCCGCTCAAAGCAGGCGACTTTTCTAGACTGCAGTTTTGTGGCGGTGGCAGCAAATTTTTAGACACAAACACACACACACATTGCTCGTTACAAATACATATGCATACATACATATTTACATAGATATGCATGCAAGTTTGTACGCACATATACATATATGTATGTATGTAGATAATTTATACTTTTGTGTGTGCATATGTCAGACGCTCGACTGTGCAACTGACCTGCTGTCTAGTCGCATTACATATGTATAATATATACATACATACACACATAGATGCAGCTACGTAGTGTGTATGTATGTGTGTATGTACAATTACATACACATGTTGTGCGTAAGTTCAATATGGCGTCGATAAGCAATTAAGCAGGCATCTTGCCTGCCGAGTGCGCTCCTCTCCTATAGCGAGCACTAATTGCAGCTCAGGGAATATTATTTTCAGCTCTCAGCAAACCACTAATTAGAGATGAGCGATACTGTGATATTAGCAGTAACAGCAACAACAAAACTTATGTATGAATAAGTTCTTTATGCATACATATATATGTACATATGTATGTATGTATCTCTCATCCCACAAGCAGTGCTGCCAATTATCGCGTGTCAAAAATAGAAATGGCAATGCCAGGAAAAAGCTTAGGATGAGCAGCAAATAGTTGGCATTTCTTTTATGGAAACTTCACTAATTATTAGCTGAAATGTAAAATAAAGTCTTACATATGTTCGTGGTATTTTATGTTGAAGCTTGCTTCAAACTGCAAACTACAAAGTTGTGATTACGCACTGAAAGAAAGGGAGCTTTTTTCCCACTTCCTTACGCGAGACGCGAGAGTTCAGTGAACTTTTGATAGAAAGCGCTTTAAAACCTTTTTGGTCTTGGGTTTTTATGACACTGATTTTTAGCCAAGCGCGCAAGTGTGTGTGTGTATGTTTGTGTGTGTATGTGTAAGTAATGGCCACTACACAACAGAGGCTCGTCACTTGTCGCTTGTTACATCAATAATTTACGACCTGCTGATGTTTATAAATAGATGAATGGTTTAGGTCAGGGTATAGTTTATTTCAATTTGAGAAGGACTCTGTTCTTTGACTCAAAAATATGATATTCAAGAAAACCAAAATATTTGTTTTAAATCATAACTTAATAACATTTACAAATACTAATTTTAAGTCATTTAAAATAATTTGCAAATGAGTTTCAAAACAATTGCTTTATGAATCTACATACATAACTATGACTTACCAATATTTGAACTAAAAATTTATAAATTTTTTCAATACTTTAGGCTTTTTTATTTCTTTAAGTTCTCTATTGTATTAAATTGATTTTTTATGTACATCGACTGCATTGTTTGTCGATGAAAAATAAATAAATAAAATAAAAACTCAACTAAATGAATGACAATGCTAGCACGAAACTTTATATAAGATGCCTTTTTTTTTCATATAAAAACATAAAATCTAGGTGCATGATAAGCCTAGTAAAGTTTCTAGATGATATCCAATATAAAACACAATTAGCTGAAAAATAATCCTAGAAGAGAGAGCCATTCACACAATAGCACAGCTAAAATATTTACTTTACTTCAAAGATTAAAGTTCCATTTTAAATATCAACTATAAGTATTATAATATATCATTGCAAGTAAAGCTCGAGATAGGTGTACTTTATTGGAAAATTCAGCTGAACTAACTTAATATCTGTCTATAGCTTCATTATCTCAATAGAGAAGGCAATTAGTTATTTCGCCTTCAATTATTTAAGGCTGCTTTGCAAGTCTTTATGGGTATTTTATTAAATGCATGTATCTTTTTAATAAGCAAATCTTTTTTGTTTACCAGTTTTTTTTTTACCCGAGTATATCGGGCACTAATTAGCTCTAATCAAAAAATTCGAAACGTGCTACGCAGTAGTCCTTGGAACATCTGTCCAAGCGATGCTGAGAATATATAACATGTCATAAGGCATTCAAATTCTGTAACGAGTGTTGTAAGGTTGTAGATATTTATATTTTTTACGAATTTTTGTTCACAAGACTTGAAAACTGAATACGGACCCGGTTCTGTGGCGATTTATATTTTTTACGAATTTTCGTTCACAAGACTTGAAAACTGAATACGGACCCGGTTCTGTGGCGATCCCAAAAAGTGTACGAACCGGAGCTTCAATTTAAACGAAGGTAAGTGCAGATGTGTGTGTGTGTGTGCGTGTGTATTTGTTTGTACATACATACATAGGTATGTACATATGTATGTGGGTTAAAAGGTGCAAAGCGTTCATTGCTCTTGCTTGCACCTTCCCTCCTGCGCCCGCTCTCTCTGCCACTCGCCCACTCTCACTCCCGCTGGCTTTTGTCTGTCTATTTAAGAGACTGAAGGACAAAGTACGGCACTGAGGGTGGGGGGGCGGCCTTACACAGAAACGCCGCTACGGTTGCAACATAAACAACCCACACACACATACACACATACATATACATACATATATATAGAAATGCATCCTTGCCTTGTTGCTGGCGACGGCGTTGACGCAACAGCCAGCGAAGTCACGTACTTTGAAGTGTGCTTCAAAGCAGCGACAGGATAAAGCGCAAGTCATGACAGGCAAGCACGCACAGACATGCACACTGCACACGTATGCATGCATTAGAGATGTGCGTGAGTGCGGAAGTAAATGAGAATGGCTAGACATGGTCGCGAATATCGTAAAAAGGGCGACTCTTAAAACTATGTTTGCAAAAGTGTGTGTAATTGAGTAAAGCTAGAAATCGTTGTAAATTCGTGAAAGGCACAATTCACGACTCCGTGAAAAGTTTACCATTTAAGCTGTGCGTGAATTATAGGGAAACTATCATAATTCACTATTAAAGACTTCAGAACATCTCACAGAGCTGTGTGTTATTAAGAATGTGTGATTGAGAAAGGTTAGAAATTGTTGTAAATTCGTGAAAGGCACAATTCACTACTCACAAAAGTTAACGAAACCTGAGAACATTTAGTATTCTATTCACGCAAAAAATTAATGATGACTATCGTGAATAGCTTTCGATCCAGGACAGCAGAAAAACTCACCACAAAAAATGTATACCATTCCGATAATAGAGTTGGTTTCTTTGGCTTAAAAAACATTTAAAAGAAATAGCTAAGCTCTTGTGAAGAGGGAGAAAAGCTATAATTTCGCAGAAATCAGCTACTTTTTGGATTCTATAATATAGTGCCAAGAATGGTTATCAAAAATTAAATGAAAAAAAAAGCTGTTCACATTTCGTGAGAAACTATTTAAACTATTCATATTAACAAAGCATATATATTTATATTTTAAAATGCATCCCAAAAACTGTTTATATTTTGGGAAGATAAAAATATATACGATTCTGCATGAATATGGAATCTAAAATGAAAAGCTGACTGCATTTCATGAGAAGGAACCATTTTTTCTTTGTGTCGTTAAGCGAGTTTTTTATGATCTTGCTTCGTGAATGATTGTAAGTGCGTGATTGTAAGTGCATTCTTTCTGTCACGCGCACATCTCTAGCATGTACGTATGTCTGTATTGCTTTTATTTTTATGAGCACGCTGCGAAGGTTCTTGGCACAGATTTCGAATAGCCGCGCGAGTGGAGGCCAACCAACCCAAGCCAGAGCCGCAGCACCAACCCCAGCGTCAACGCCAGCCAGAGACTGGCCACGAACCCCAACCTGCCCCAACACACAGACACATTGCACTTGCCCCTAGAGAGTTAGGCAAGTGCTGACAACAATAACAATAACAACAACAAAATGCTCTCCTTGACAGCCAACAAGACAGCGAAGCGAAAGAAGAGGCAGAGAAGGAACATGTTTCGTGGCATGCTGAAACCGGGAACTGAGGAGGGTGCAGGCGGAGAATGGTCCGAGGAATGTGAGCCAACAACCACCACACCGTCCACCCCCACACGCACACGCACACCGACCGACCACACCGTCAAAGAGGAGGAGGCGGTGGAGGAGGAATACGAAGAGAAGGCAGAAAAACAGAGCATCAGATCCCGCAAATCCCAGAAAACTGGCACACCCGCTGCATCCAAAAGATGCAACAAACTGCAGAAACAACAACAAGAAGAGGAGCAGGCAGAAAAACAGCCAGAACTGGAGATGAGTTTGGTAAAACGGTTTGCCAGAGAAATGGAATATGGGGGTCTCGGTGTCGGCGTCATTCTCCGCATGTTTTTCTGCCTATCTCTGGCGCTGTGGCATCAGGACGCCTGTCCACAAATCAGCTTCAGTCCCCGCTGGACACAACTGCCCACAGGCGGTTTCCAGAAGCAGTTCTGTCTCGTCTGCCGGATCGACGGCGATGTCCTGATGCTACTCGTTCGCGCCGCCATAAATGCGATCATTCCCCTCCTCGGCGTGATTCTCATAAGCACCGTCAATTGGATTTGTGTGCGTCGTCGCCTGCGCACCGGGGAGATTCGCGTCCTACCCATGAATATCGGCGTTTATGCGCTCTGTCTGCTACCCTATATCGTTCGTTTCGGTATTAGCTTCGGTTACTTTATGCATCGCACAATCCTCGCCTATTTGAACTCGGAAAATGCTCACACCCAGCGCTACAATATACTGCGCATGGAGATTTTTGCCATTCATCTCCTGCTAATGGTCTACGGCGTCGAATTGGTGTTCCTTTGGCTGCAAGGCATGGCCGCCATGCGGCATGCTTTTGTCGTCTACTGTACTCTCGCCTTCATCGACGATGGCGACGATATCGATCAGGCCGCCCTCGACTTGATCCTCCACGTGAGTTTTCTACACGCTATCTAGGCTCTCCAGAATGATCTCGAACTCTCCCATATGCATCGACAGCCCGCACCGTTTAGGCAGAGCCCGGAAACGGAGATGATTAAGCGATTCTACTGGAGAGTCAAACGCGCGGCAATACAGCGCATCAGAGATTTTAGAAACGACAGACATCACTAAAATACAGCAACAACCAACTCTCGGGTGCCACGGATCGGAACACCACCCGAACATGTTACAAGTGAGTCTACCAGTCTACAGTTTGCTCTTCATTTTAACGTTTTAGTACACATTTAAGCTATACTCTTCGGATGTATGGGCTTGTCCCACTTCACAGCAAGTCTACCAGTCTACAGTTTGCTCTTCATTTTAACTTTTTAGTACACATTTAAGCTATATTCTTCGGATGTAAGGGCTTTTCAATAATCTCATCTATTTTGTCTTCATTTATGTAAGGGCTATTTTTTTCTAGTCTGAACCAGGGTTCCCAAAAATCTCTTCGTGCTGCTCATGAGCACAAAAATGAGCAGAATGCGAACCCTGGTCTGAGCACAGGAATATTGGAAATATTATTATGTAATGGTATCTCCTAGACAAGTTTTTAGGGTTGGGTTTTAGCCCATGATCTGCTTATGAAATTTACAACGAGCCACAATCTGAGAAAATCAAAATAGTTATTCTTTAAAAAACATAAGGTCTACAAATTTCTGAAACCCATAAAAACTCTGCAATTTGCGATTCTGTCTATTTTGTCTGCACAATTTCTTCTCTGCTTCAAGAATTTTCCTTTGGTTTTCAAAAGGTAGTTTTAAATAAATATATCGTGAGCTCTAGGAGTAAACGTCAAAACGCAAGCGCTTTCCTCAATAACAGATGACTTGTATGAATGTACAATGAACCCAAAAAACACACACTGGAAACAATTTTTACGGCTACTGAGAACCTAAGAATCCAAAAAATATCAAATGGGGCCGATATATCCGACTACTAAAAACTTAAGAACCCCAAAACTTAGAATCTCCAAACACAGCGAAGGTTATGCAGAATAATATTCTAAGAATCCCAAAAGTACCAACTGGGGACTTTATTTTCGACTACGAACTGCGAAGCTTTTCTTCTCATATCAAGTCTAGAACCAAATACGGAATTAAGAGAATAACTTAATTGGAGTCTTAACTAAAACCTGCTCGGAGGCGCTTAACAAGGCGCTTGTTCGACCTTCTTCTCTTGGCACTCCAATCTCCCAACTCCTACTTGTATTCCACTTCTAAAACGCCTACGTTTCCATCCACTTACCTTTCGTCTTCTCTGGTTTCCTTGTCCTTACACCGATCCTCGTCTTGAGGGGTTGTTTCAGTTATTGTTGTAGCTACTTTTGTTGTTGCTTTTGTTATCGTTAACATTCGTCTTAGCGCTGCCAGATTTGTGGGAATGATAATATTGATAATATTAATGCGGACGCGGGTGTGATGGAAACTGTAAAGAAAAATCAGAAGAATAAAAATTCACAAATCAAAGTAAGCCAGAAAATATATTGGAAAATGTTTTTCCACCGAATTAATGGTCAGATATTATATAAACCGATTTTGTCACTGTATATAAAAAGAACTAATATTGACGGCTTCTGTTTTAAAGCAGATAACTAGAGAGTTCAAAAATCCCATTACAAACTGTTTAAATTCAGTTTGAATCGTTAATGAAGCAGCAGGGCCACCTAGCGGAGTAAAGCTACATTCATTGTATACTTTCGGTCAAAAGGCGCAACTATAAATAAAGTTTCACATTTTTTACGCCTGTCAGCGGTTCGCGCGCCATCTAGCGTGGCAGTTGCATGCCAGCAGATGGCGCCACTCTTCCCATTGCATATGTATTCATGTATTTATATAAACAATGCTTGTATATTTAGTGTTCTCTTTCTCACTCTCTTTAACACACACACACGCGCAAATATGTACTCTTTGCTTGTCATGCTACGTCTCTCTTTGCGGGGCTGCTCTTAAGTTTGCAGTTGACTGACTGGCTGGCTGGCTGTTTGCTATTGCTATGTTGTTGTTCTTGTTGTTGCTGTTATGTTTGTGCTGCGCTTTGCAGTTTGTGTGTCAATCGGTTTCATTAACCCCGAGCCCAACAAATGCAGTCAGCATCGCAGCACAGCCGACAACAACAGCGATGCTGACGAACCGATGACGCTGACGTTGAATGTTGAATAGAGGAGAATGTTGCTGCTGCTGTTCTTGGTGTTGGTGTTGTTGTTGTTACTTGTGTTGCTGCATAGCAAGCGGCATGTGCCGCAGACTTTATCGTTTTGTTAGGGTCGACAGGGAGCATAGCCAAAAGGTCAACAAAGTGCGTTTCGCACACACACACATACACATACATTTGTATTTCTCATTAGAGGCGCCTTAATTAAAAATCTAAATTTCTTACATGGGGCATGCCCCCATGCCAAGACACACCCTCATAAACCATCGCTGTCCACTACCATGTTTCCAGGGTCATTGCATTCGCTCGATTGGCAATTGTGTGTAAGTGCAACAGCGACAACAACAATAACAGTGAAAAGAATAAGAAGGAACGTAGGCAAAACAAAACAAAAATTACGGCACACGGCCGAGTGTCTGCGTCTTCCTTATTCCCTATTCTGCTCCACCACCCCTCCCTTCCCAAACACACAACACAAACGAGTATGTGTTCCAGACCACACAACACAAATACTAAACAGTGCATTATTATTTTTGTTGTTGTTGGTCTTTTACCCTCAACACAAACAGAGACGCCACTGTTTGCCGCCACTTCTATGCATATATACTTATGTGTATGTGTGTGTGTACAAATGTAGGGACAGTGGGACGCAAAGCATTTCGTTGCTATACAAAACCTTAAATGTCTTCGTTTTGCAAAAATAGAGCAGTTTTTATGTTATTTCAACTGTCAACAAATAATTTTATACAGTCTTATTAAATATTTCTATTTTACTAATTAAAATTGAATCCGTATGGTACAAAATTTAATTTTCAAAACTGTAATCCGTCTAAGCATGAAACGCTTTACTGTGATTGTGTTGGAGAAAAAACTGCGATGGCAAAGTGCTCGTCTAAGTAGGGCTTTAAGTATACATCAAAATTATATTAAATTTGTTGCTTTGAACACTCTTTGCATGACTGACTTCATTTTTTAAGAAGTAATACGTTACTATAAATAGTTGGAATTAAGGTATTTCGTACAACATATTAATAGTTCATTGAAACATCAGTACTTTAAATTTATTGCTTGACCTACAATTTCCAATATTAATGTAATTTCCCCATTCATTTGGCAGATCAAAATAAAGTTCTATATCATTATATAAGCCGGAAAAAAACAAAAAACAAAACAAAACCTTTTTATTCTTTTAATTCTAGCGGCTTCAAAGCTTCATTATGGCTTCATCAATTCGAGAGCCAATTTTTAAATGACTTGCAACTTTTTGATTCTCCAACTAAATCTTCTCTAAGAATATGTTTGTAATTAAATTTTCAATCAATAGTTTGTTGCAATATGAATACAAAAATGCTGTCATTGCCCAACCATCAGCAGCCGAACCATCGTTATAAATCAGTTTGAACAGTTTCAAATCGTATACATAATTACATCTAGACATCTAACTAAAGAAATATCAAGGCCAGAGTCCAAAGTCAGAGTTGTCAAGGGTTAATCCGAGAAACTTGAAAGTGTAATCCATGACGGAAAGTGTTGACCCAGAATCGATTGCTAAGAGAGTTAATGATGAAGCAGACAAGGAATCAGAAACCGTTAGGACTAAGCGACAAACTATTAGAGAGAAATATTACCGACTCAGTTCAGATAAGTTTCCCGACCAGCATCTATTGTCGATAGTACAGACTAAAAAAGACACTTCAGAAGAAGCTACTTGAGGTTTATAGTTGGAGGGATCTGTTTTTAAAGTCCGACATACATACAATACCTATATGTTTTTTATTTTTGTATAACTATATTGGGGGTACAGAATATTATTTAATAATCAGCTCTGATGTAAAATTGGAATCCGAAAACTTTTAGTCTTCCCTCGAATATATGTACAAACAAATTTCAAATGTTTCTAGCCCACTGTATATGTATATGTGTTGTGACTCTTGGCGTCCAAAGAGGCACACTAGAAAAAGTCACATGCAAATAAAAATAGATTTTTGTCGGTATATAGGATAACGACCACGAACGACCCTAAAGCCGGCGGCATGCGCCAGGCGGCCAACGACCGGCAAAAACAGACAAACTCCGCATCCCCAGCCCCATGCCGTCGCATGCCTTCGTTCCGTCCACAAACGCCTCATGGCGCCCACTGTTGTTTCCACACAGTCCCACAGGCAATTTTGCCGGCCTGTTCGAAAAATAAATAAATAAATAAATAAAGAAAAAAGAATGCTCGGCAAAAATACGAAGGCCCCATAGAGCCAAAGAGAAAGCGCTATTTTCTCCCTTATAATACAAACCACACACACACACAGGCGCGCTAAAGTCTGTCTGCATGTATTTGTGTGTATGTGTGCGTTTGGTAGGATCAAAAAGAGGAGCAGGCACACGTGTGTGTGTGTTTGTACTTCGCACAAATTGCGTGGCAAGCGGGTTGCGGTATGCGGCATGCGGCAGTGAACGCGCGCTGTAGGGGTTGCTGACCTCTTCTCAGGGTCGCCGAAGGTTGTTGAACCTTGCCAATGTATGCCGGCAAAGTGTGGGGAGAGCACTGAAGTAGCGTGAGATAGAGAGAGAGAGAGAGAGAGAGAGAGGGGGAAGCAGAGTGAGTGTAGGGCCGAGCCAAGCCGCCAACGAGGAAGTAAAAAAGGTGCATGGCAATGCTTCGTGGTTGTTGCTGTTGTTGTTGTACCCGCCGTTACTGCCCCACTGGCAATCTGTCTGTGTATGTGTGTGCATGTTTGCGTGTGTGTGTGTGTGCCAAATGTGTGCTGGTCGTTGGCCTTTATCGTTCGTCCCTCTCCCTCTCCTACTCTCTCTCTAGCACTATACTACTACTACAGCCACCTCCCTCTTAAGCGAGCGCTCTGTTCGTCTGTGACGTAATGTTGCATTTCAAATTGTGCTTTTCTGCTCTCCCTCTCTCTCACTCTCAATCTCCCTTCTCTTATGCGTCCTTTGGCAAGCAGGCGGCACTACAATATACGTTTTGTTGTTGTCACTCATTGTTAGAGATGTGGCTCTGGTTTTGCATTGTCTGAGGTTAGGGTTGAATGCTCGCTGCAGGATCAACATGTGCGGAGGTTCAGTTTTTAATTCGCTATCTGGGTCTACTCGTACTTGCCTATGCCTGTGCGATATCTTTGACATACGTCTGACCAAACACACACACATACATACATACATATACACATGCATAATGTATGAATGCATGTATGTACATACATACATAAGTACTACGAGCCCTAACCACTATTAATTGGTACGGCACGGTTTTTTTCGACAGTGCAACTTTCAATGACTCATATTTATTTGTAGGCGATGATTGCCCAAACATATTTATACTTTTTAAAAAGGTCATTGAATTACCTTTAATTTCATATCAAAACATGCACAAGTTTCATATCAACAAAATGAAAAAACTCAATTTAAATAAAACAACTTTCATACTACACGAAATATTTTGACCATTATTAATTGGTACGGCAACATTATATATTCATTAAAACTGAGTAACATCTCCTTTATTTTTAATAACACCCTGAATTCTCTTCTGCATGGTATTTACTAATTTTAGGCATTCTTCTGGAGTTATGGAATCCCAAATTTCCTGAATTTTTGATTTTAGTCCTGACAGAGTACGCTGTGGGTCATTCCTCAGCTTTCTTTTGATGATTGCCCACAAGTTTTCTATTGGGCTTAGATCTGGGCTTGATGACGGCCAATCTAAGACATCAATTCCATTTTCTTGAAGCCAATTTTTGGTTGTTTTTGCGGTGTGTGGTGATGCACCATCCTGTTGAAAGGTATATTCCCCACACTCAGAAAGCTTTGGTATTGATGGAAGGAGATTACTTTGAAGGATACACTTGTATTTTTCTGCATTTACAGTTCCATCTATAAAGTAAAGTTGTCCCACACCTTTGGCTGACATGCATCCCCACACCATTGTGCTCGTTGGAAACTTGACTGTACGTTTAAGACAATCTTTGTGATATGCCTCCGTACGTTTTCGTATTACTCGTTTTCGAGCATCACCGACACACACATCAAATTTGGATTCATCGCTAAAAATTATAGAATGCCAACGCCTCTGTTCCCAATTCTGCCTTTGTCTTGCCCATAGCAATCGTTTTTTCATCTGCAAAGCTGTGAGCAATGGTTTTTCTTTGGCCTAAAAACACCAACATATATTAATTGTACAGAAAAAATTATCTGTTATGCTAAGCAGGAACCGCAATCATACCTTATAGAAGCCATATCCAATTCTTTTCATTTGCTGTCGAGTCCATTCTCGTTTCACTGTTTTCCCAATTTTTGCAGACCTTTTTGCCGATATATCTCTCACAGTACTTCGCCGATTTTCCTTTATTAAACTCGACAAACTTCTTTTGTCACGCGAAGTAACTTTTGAGACTCGACCTCTGTTCGCTGTATTACAGTGTATATTGCCATTCTTTCTGTAGCTTTTCACTATATTTTGAACTGTAGACTTAGAAAGCATAAGACTTTTCGATATTTCACCATAGCTGTTGCCCAAATTTAATTTTTTTAGAATTTTAGCTCGAACTTCCTCACAAACTGGCTTGCCACGTGCCATCGTGCTCATAAATCAGGGAATAAAACTAAAACTACAACTAAATGTCATATGTTTTTACTTTTCCTTCATCACAATATTCTATTTACCGTTACTTGTCCAGTTTTTGTTTACATTTTACATTTTTCACCGTTTTTTTAAGAAAAATAATGTTGCCGTACCAATTAATAATGGTCAAAATATTTCGTGTAGTATGAAAGTTGTTTTATTTAAATTGAGTTTTTTCATTTTGTTGATATGAAACTTGTGCATGTTTTGATATGAAATTAAAGGTAATTCAATGACCTTTTTAAAAAGTATAAATATGTTTGGGCAATCATCGCCTACAAATAAATATGAGTCATTGAAAGTTGCACTGTCGAAAAAAACCTTGCCGTACCAATTAATAGTGGTTAGGGCTCGTATATTCGTATGTACGTATGTATGTACAATGGCGGTAAAAAAATAGCAGTATGTGTGGAAAAGTGTCCTTATCTTATTAGTTTGTAACTTTGCTTAAATAAAGGTACATATTTAAGCATTTTTGCTTTCTCAATGTAAATGGGTTTTTCTTGGAGGGTACTGTGCAAAATGAAAAGTTTCTCTCAGTAAGTTGATTTAATGGGTATTGGGGTTCGGTACTTAATGCAGGATCTGTTAGTCCTTTTCTCTAGTTGCATTTTCAAAATTTAAAAAATTCATAATAAATATGATATTTGAAAGAAAAACCTACATATGCTAGACTTTTCAAAAAGGAAAAAACACGCAAGTTTGTAAATGGCAAGAGAATTTGTGGAATTTGTACCGCCAATACAATTATATAAATACGAAGCATCGTGGTATGGGTCTAAATTTCCTATAATGGAATTGTGTGAAAGAAATAAATGGTCTTCCAGCAGGACAATGACCCGAATCATAAAATCAAAAATGGGAAAGTTTATAAGGCATCCATTCCAAACAACATTTTATAAAGATTTCACAATTTCTCGCAATTTCCTATTCAGTCAAATTTTGTACCATACATATGTACACACACACATACATACATATGTATGTACATATGAAAATATTAACGAATAATAGTGCTAATTTATTTATGTATAATTGATTGTCTCCTGAGGAAGGTTGCAATTCAAGACAAATTCTGCTAACAGTGCTCCTTTTTTTGTACCACAGCTATACATACATATGCACATATAATGCATGCATGTATGTGTGAATGCATATATGTATGTGTGAATCTTTAATCGCAGGCTAATGTGCGGCAATGGAAACAAATGGCAGCGCGTCGTGATTTAGTTTGCCTTATCGCAGCCGTCGACGCTGACTTCTCAGTTAACAGCGAGCAGCAAGCAGTGTGTGTTTATTTTATCGGTCATTAGCCTTTCTTTCTATTTCTCCTTCCCCGTCGGCAATAGGAGGACATCACATGACACAGTACGGACCACCCAAGCCACCCTTCCACCCACTTCATTCTCCCATTCGCTCTCACGTACGGTGCGTACTCACGCACAATGCGTCACATTAACCGTTATCAATCATACGACGCCTACAACGAAAAGAAAAAGCCATGACCGTGAAGTTTAACGCCCTCTGGCGACGTCGCAGCCGCAGTCGCAGTCACCGCCGACGCGCCGCCGTCGATGTTGCTATCGCTAGTCTGCCCGCTGTCTTAGTATGGTTTGCGCTGTGCTGCGATGGGGTGGGGGGAGCGCGGTACACAAGTATGTGGTGCGTGCAAAGGGTCGCGATGACACAGCACTGACGTCTTCTTGGCCGCTGCTGCCACCTCTGCTGCTCCCATCATTCTTCTTTATTTTTTTTGTGGTTTGACATTGAACTCGAAATTGACGCGCTGCTTGCCTGCCCTCTTTCGCTCTTTTTCTTACTATTTATGCTTGCCCTCCCGCTCTCAAACACTCACTCACTCACTACTCGCATGTTTTCTTGCGGCTGCTCCAGTTGGGGCGTCGTGTTTGTAGCGATTTCATTATTATTATTATTATTTTTTTTTTTTTTTTGGCTAAGCATTTGCCACCTTTTTGGTGTATTTTGTTTTTGTTTTTTTTTATTTGCGCTTCCTCAGCTGTGCGACGCAGAAGTTCAGTGAACTTTTGATAGAAAACGCTTTAAAACTTTTTGGTCTCGGCTTTTTATGACACCGATTTTTAGCCAAGCGAGCAAATATGTGTGTGTGTGTGTGTGTGTGTGTAATGGCCACTACACAACAGAGGCTCGTCACTTTTCACTCAGTGTAGGTATGTAGGTGTTAAAAAATAAACAAATGTTTCACAATTAACAATAGAAGCTGTCGAGGTTGTAGTTTATACAAATTTTAGCCGAACTGTGTCCTTTGACTTTGAAAAATTTGAACAAGAAAACCAAACATTGGTTTTAAAATGTCTTTATATAATCTAAAATGTTCATTACCAACATTTCAATTATAAACTTATTTATTTTCGTAAAATTTAATTTATTTTATGTTCAAGAATTTTCCTTAATTATTAATTTTTTAGCCTTTCTTTTTAGATATACGAAGCCCAACACTGGAAATGCTATCTCAATCTCACAAAAACCAAATTAAATAATTAATTTTTTTGTGTTATTCGGTTCCTGCACTTTTAAATGTTATCTGTATTCTTTAAAAAGCTTTACCTATTGATTGATAAATGTGATTATCTTTTATTGAAAGAAATCACATCTAGATGGATGAGAAATCTAGGAAGCATCGAGAAACACCTAAAGTTATATTTATTCGAAGAACAAAGAAAGAAAACAACTTAACTTTGATGATAAACCTAGATGTCAACGACTCGAAACGTGATAAATCTAGAAAGCAACGTTGGATGGAAAAGGAAGAAAAACACAGCTAGATGGTTGATAAACCTATAAAGCAACGACGTTGAATATAAGATATTATTTTAAATTGTAAAAGAATATAGCTTGATGGTTGAAAATACTAGAAACCATCTAAAAATCAACGATCAAAAATACAACTGGATGGTTGACAAATCTAGGAAACGAAACACTAAATATAAAATGAATTTTTTATGTACAAACAAAAAATCTAGGTTCATGATAAGCCTAGAAAAGAAACGATATCGCTGATAAAACAACTAGGTGGATAGAATACAGCTTGGTGGTTGAAAATACTAGAAACCATCTAAAAATCAACGATCAAAAATACAACTGGATGGTTGACAAATCTAGGAAACGAGACTCTAAATATAAAATGAATTTTTTATGTACAAACAAAAAATCTAGGTTCATGATAAGCCTAGAAAAGAAACGATATCGTTGATAAAACAACTAGGTGGATAGAATACAGCTTGATGGTTGAAAATACTAGAAACCATCTAAAAATCAACGATCAAAAATACAACTGGATGGTTGACAAATCTAGGGAACGAGAGACTAAATATAAAATGAATTTTTTATGTACAAACAAAAAATCTAGGTTCATGATAAGCCTAGAAAAGAAACGATATCGTTGATAAAACAACTAGGTGGATAGAATACAGCTTGATGGTTGAAAATACTAGAAACCATCTAAAAATCAACGATCAAAAATACAACTGGATGGTTGACAAATCTAGGGAACGAGAGACTAAATTTAAAATGAATTTTTTATGTACAAACAAAAAATCTAGGTTCATGATAAGCCTAGAAAAGAAACGATATCGTTGATAAAACAACTAGGTGGATAGAATACAGCTTGATGGTTGAAAATACTAGAAACCATCTAAAAATTAACGATCAAAAATACAACTGGATGGTTGACAAATCTAGGAAACGAGACTCTAAATATAAAATGAATTTTTTATGTACAAACAAAAAATCTAGGTTCATGATAAGCCTAGAAAAGAAACGATATCGATTAACGAAATATGCTAACGAAGCGGTTTCTTAGCATGTTCGGAAACTCTTCATCATATATTTCATTCCATTATTGTAACGTATTTAAAATACGAAATATCTCATAATAAAGAATTGCATTCGATGATCCAAATATGTGTACTTTATTAAATTTGGTAAATTTCTCTCTTTCAATTTCTCCATATAGGCCCAACATCTCAATAGATAAACAGGCATATCTACAAACACAAACTCCCGATAATTTATTGATAACAAACATTACCTATTTAGTTAATAATTTAAAGCCAAGCCAATATGACTTGGGTTTGTGGTCAATGCGAGAAATAAATTGCTTTAAACGCTCTGACTTGGTAGTTCCTAGGCTTCCGCCCTACTCTTCCTAAACTTTAGTAATATATTTATTTATTTATTTTAAGCATTAGTTACTGTACTTAATTATTTAAAATAGTACTTCTCTCCTACCAGGCCATCGAGTCTACTTTTGAAATTAAGATCTTATACCTCGTAGTAAAGTTTACTAGTTTTTCGAAAATTTATTATGCTTGTATTTGGATTATATTGTTGTTTTCAGTTGTCTGATAAGTTGCTTATTCGGGTATTTTGGTGGTTAAGGCACTCATCCTGTAAGTATTGTATTGACAGGACAGTTGGGCTTTGAGTCTTCTTAGAAGAGCGCAGCATTGTTTAAAACTATTTTTATACTCTGTACCTGAATATACCTACACAATATATCTTTTATTTTATTGTTTTATCTTCAAGATCGTAGTGCCACAGTTTTTTGTTTGAAGGTAACAATTTTTATCATGCTGATACCTAAATAGCAATAAGCAACGATTTTCTCAGAATCGGGCTTTCTCTCAGTCGTGCTCGTAACACGTTTAAAACTTTGTCTTTTATAACCACATAGAAGTAATGAACTGAAATCCGCTTTACTACCTCTAGAGAGTTAAAGCCGCAATTGATTTCCTTAGCCTATCAAATGTATAGTAATTATACACAATTAGAATAATTTGATCCTTTAACGAGTCGCTGTAAATGGAGTGCCATGTTTTTCTTATTTGAAGAATGAAGCGAATCAGGAAACCACCACCACCTGGCTTCTATATTTACTGATTGCTCAGATTACAATCACGTAACTGGCGGTCCGATAGCAGCAGAAAATTTCTAAACAGAAATTTTCCATAGAATTTTCGCGGCAAGGTGGTGGGGCGTTGGTAGGTCTGTTGAAGTTTCTAATGACGGCAAAGCTACGCTGGAAAACAAAGGTGCAAGGTCGGGCTATCCCCTACTCTATTTGTAGAAATAATTTGGAGAGTAATGATAAATACGTTTTTTCCTTAATTTGACTTTAAAGAGTTTGTAAGGAAAATAAAGAACTTGAGGTTCCAATGACTATCTTATTTGTAGAAATAATTTGGAAAACAAAAGAGATTAAAAGGTTGTTCAAACAATTTTTTTTTAAATGGAAATAGTTGATATTCGAAGCCACGCGAATAGTGTTGTTTTTGATATGATATTGATTTGTTTATGATACTAATTTTTAAAACAAATATAGTTGGATGCCAAACCCAGAAAGCATCAACAGATTATTTCTGTTATTGATTGAAAACACATGCAAGCCGAACGTTATCGAAAAATTTGACTGCTAGACTTTCCTATGTACATATGTACATATTTTACACATTTATATGGGAGTTGAACTAAAATGTATCTTTAAAGCAACAGGAAATTTTAGATTTAAAAAGTCTTCCTTTTATGATTGAGGTTCGAAGTAAATTTGATCTTTGAATCTGACCAACATAATAAGTAAATCTTTTCAGATACTAAGCCATGAAGGCATAATTCTTTATCCAAATTGATTGCCAGATTAATGTTTTTGGGAGATTTTAGAGATACCTAAGAGATACGCTTTTATCTTGCTGTCCGAAAAAAATGTTGATGATTTACAGATGCTTACTTCCAATAAGAATTACCCATATACCCATGCTTAGAAAATGCAAATATACATACATATGTACATACATATGTATGGAGTATGTATGTATCAACGGCGAAAGGGCGGTCTAATGGAGAAGCAATTCCTATTCTTTCCTCAACACTTGAATGCCTTAAAAAGATCGCTATTTTGCAAAATAATCCATATCTGTATGTACGTGCAATCAATCATATGTATGCATTGATTGTGCGATAGTACATACTTTTATACATACATACATACATATTTATGTAATTTTTTTGTCATAAAGCAAAAAATAAAAATTGAAGAAAAAAGGAAAAAGAATTCATAAATGAGGCGGCGACAAGCACAATGACGCGAGGGCAACCAATTTTATGAAAGTCATAGTCAAGGTCAACATGCGTAGTAAGGCAGAGGGAGCCAGCAAGCGAACGAGAACGATAGAGGCTAAGAGCGGGAGAGATAGAGAGAGACAGAGAGAGAGAGAGAGAGAGTGGGGCCAGCCAAAGCGAACGAGAACGGGCAAGATCTGTTTAAGCTTTTTATTCTTCACGCTTGCTTTCACAGGCACACCAACACAAATGCAATTGGTGGCCATTTACTCGTTCGTTTCGTGTCCGTGATAAGCATGGAAAAAGTCGGGAAAAATGTGCGTAGATACATAGTGGGTGTAAGTGTTAGCGACCGCAACTAAGGATCAGCAGTGAGCAGAGAAATTAAATAACTAGAATAGCAGAAACAACAACAATAACTGTTACTACCGCAAATGTGCCGGACCAGAACAAAAACGAACATCAACTATTGCTGAAATCAATGTATCTATGAACATACATACGAGTACACACACACACATACAAACACATAAATATGCATGCATGCTTGTTGTACATGTACATATGTACATACATATGTATGTGTAATTTGGTTTTAGCATCAGACAACAGAACGGCCGTACAAATGACTCACATGCATACTCGCAGATGAAATATGTGTTTGTATTTATGTATGTACAAAAGAAAAACAAATGGCTAGGTCGGTCGTTCACCTGCGTTTGCTTGGCTTTCGTTCACCAAAGAGAGGTTGACACAGAGAGAGAGAGAACGTGACATATTTTAAGAGAACAAAATGCCATGTACGCGCCCCCATAAGACCCAATAAGACAGTGATTATGATTGTGGCGTGGAGAGCAACTCGTTGTTGCTCTCTTGCGTGGTGCCGTTGTGTTGTTCATGCTCTTAGCTCCAAGCATTCAGTATTTCATAACGCTTCTGGTTTTTGTTGTTGCTGCTCTTGTTGTTGTATTCGTGTCAATGTTCTATCGCCGTCACTGCTGCTGCTGCTGTTGCTGTCGTCATCATCAGCGTGTTGTGTTGTTGCTTTCGCTCTTGTTTAGGGTTTAATGACATTGCCGGGTTTTCTGTTTTCTGTTTTTTTCCTTATTTTGCTCATTCGCTTGCCTGCTGCCTGCCGCTTGTTTATTTGTTCTTGCAATGCAAATACCTACAAAACCTACAACAACAACAGCAACAACGTGCAAATTGTACAGGCGGCGATGACTATTCAAGCCGTTTTAACTAACCATGAGACACACATATTTTAGCAATTGGAGCAAAACAGGAATATAGCAGCAAGCAAACTTTTTTCCATTTTTGGTATTTTTATATTAATTTAAAAAATGTTAATTTTTTTATTACACTTAAGACAATTTTGTATTGCATTTAAATCAATTTGATAAAATTTTATTATTTTTTATTTTTTCTTAATTTTTTTTAATTTCTGTAGCTTTTGTTCACATAGGTACAGAGTATTTCAAAGTCGAAGCACCCGAAATAAACTTTTCCACTTGTTTTATTATTTTTGAAGTATGTATGTGTTATAAAGCTTTATAAGTAGCTTGATAAATACAAATAGAAATTCAATTGATTGTTGAAACTTAAATTTAACAGCACGATGGAATTTTAAACGAAATATTATAAATATTGAAATGTTTCTAAATAGTTCTTAAAAACATTTTAGTTCCAACAAATAAAGAATCAACTCATAACCCCCAATGTGCTTACATACAAGTATTACAGATAAGACAATTGGAAATTAAAAGAGTAAAAAAAAACTTAACAACTTTGTATTTTTTCTCGCTTTTTAAAAAAGCGGTCCTACTATTTATAGAACTCTAAAAAAGGACCAATTTGAGGGTATGAAGAAAACCATAACTAATTGAAATGTGTAAACAAATCGCACACTGACCAGAAGAAGAATATTGAACTCTCGCGATTTCGTTGCATTGGCGAAAAATTGCAAAAATAAGCAAAAACCGGCTGATATATAATTAGATACATACTTACTATACATATACATACATACATATATATCTGTACGTTGGCATCTCCCGATATGGCACTGATATTTGTTTTTGATGAGTAACCCGAGTTGTTATAAGAAATTCTGGTTAACACGTAAGCTTTATGAATTAAAGCAGCTTCATCATTTTAATGCAATAAACTTATTTTTGTTAAGATATTTTTATGGGATCGCCAAAATAAATTCAACGAAATAACGGAACAATTCCAGTGATTTCAAAACAAGCGACTCAAACATCTAGGATTATTTATGGACATCACAAAGTCAATTATTATGTCACTTTTTAGGCCCTCTAACTGAAACATTTTAATAATCGCCGATAGCTGAGCAACAAAGTCAAAGTGCCAGCCTGACTCTTGAACAGCATAAGCGCATCCCACGGCAGTCAATCTGTTGTACGAATCATTTCTATGACAGCTATTTGGTTGAGATATAAATGTGTAGTGTTAACACTTATTTATCAACCAATAATTCCTATGTGATATCGTGCACCGATTTTTATGCAACTGCAGAATGATAATAATCTTACTCTATATATGCAACAAATTTATCCTACTAAATGCGATATTCCCACCGATCGGTCCTATTGAAGATGGACATGT